ATTTTGAAGTTTGTTTGTTTGTTTGAAGAAGCTCAAATAAATCTGATATCTAAACCAACAGATCTCCGCATTTTTATACCAAATTCGCGACGAAATATCGTCTATTCTTCTCTCCTTTTTACCACCTCCTAAGCACCAGTCTTCATCAGTCCATTATGATTTATTAATATCATAAGCCAAATATCAGCTCGCGATATACAAACGCCAAGACATTTTCAACATCTGTGTGAGCGTGTACGCAAATATACCGGTTCAGTTCAACGTATGGTGGAATTTATTTATTTTTCATTGAAATGACCTTTTTCAGCGCATCGTTAGAATATATTTATGGGTGAATTTGAGGGCAGAGTACACTTAACTGAATTTGATATCAGCAGCTGACGTTAGTTGATGCTGCTGACACGCTCTGCAAATAAGTGAGCAAATTGTGGTAAATTCATTCACGGATAACGTTTTTATGTTCGTTGCAAAGTTGTAGAGTTTGACAATTGTCTAAATATCAAGATAACAAAGATTCGTTATCCGTTGTGATTAAAAAGTGGATGACACAAACACATGCTTGGAGAAAAATATACGTTGATCCATCCATACAAATACACATAAAAAGCATTCATTGCTTTCATCAGTGACATTTGGTAGTGAAATATGACCATGGGAAACATGCTGAAAATTAATAATTCCGTGACGACTCTCACACGGCTTACACTGCACAACGATATTGCCGCTGAAATCATGTGCCAAATTAGCGCTCAATTAACATTCAGTCCATTCCACATAGTTCCCGTTCACATCTAGCGTTCTACATATTAAAATGTTTGATACTTCGATTTGATTTAAATTCAATACCTTGTTTATTGTTTGGTAGATTTAATACGACCATTTAACAACTGATTTGTATTTTTTTTGTCACTTGAACTCACACCTTATTCACTATGTTTAATTTAGTCTGAAATGGAGAGGCGTCATTTGTGATTTTCCTTGTATTCATTTTTTTTAACTTATTGAACAAGTAAAAAATCTCAAATGACACGAGCTGTAACTTAGACTCCTCCAGTGAATGAAAGATACGTTTTTGTTTTTAAATAAATTTCAACAATTTTCTTTTATTTACATTTAGTTTTCAATAAAAACAACGATTGAACATTAAATTAAGCTTGTGGGGCAACTGGCAAATGAGCACCTGACGCACGGTAACCGAACTCATCAGCGATATAGTTAATGGTGTAGACTTGACCGTCTGGTCCGGTGTATGAGTATTCTGTGGACAAAATGGAAAATGAAAATTATTTGTTTTGAAACCGTCGGCGAAATAGTGTTCAGCAATGTTTGATCGAATTTTTCTTACGTCCTTGTACGGCATATGATGGGCTGGCGTCAACTGAACGTGCTTGGTTCAATGTACCTTTGACTTGGGCTGAGATTCCGTTGCTGGTTTGTGATCTGTGCACGTGAAAAATGAGAACATTTATTGAATTGATTCACTAGGTTTTCCTCTCTGCTCACCACTCGACTCAACCGTGCACTGTTCTTTTGCTGTTTTCTTCTTTACAACCAGAAGATACTTACGCATATTGGTAGTTTCCTGATGGGTCGATGTCGGCTTGTTGGCTGACGATGTAGGCTTGTGCGTCTTGTGTGGCGCCTGGGAGAAGAGCAGCGGCTGAGGCAGCGATGAGGGCAGCGAATACGATAACAAATTTCATTTTGACGGTTTTTTTTGGCTTGGTTTGGTTAATCCACGAAAGCAGCTCAAATACTTGTGATATCTGGAGCAAGTGTTCGCAACCAATTTATAGTAAATTTTTTGTGAGATTCATCACCCTCCATTTTTTCGCCATCTTTTTACGATTTTTTTTTCGCTGGTGTCTTCAACAGGTCTTTTTATCTTCAACCGTATTACATTTTAGTACATCGATAAGCAATGTAAATGTAAACTTGAGAAAGACATTTAAAGTAGTATACACGCATTCTTCCCATGGAAATGATGTAGTTCATTAAAATAAAGTGATGCATGTTGCTGTGAACCGGCTTGCTTGCTATTCATTCAAGAGAGTGTCATCATTTCGATTATACTGAGCCATATAATCAACGAACACCACGAAAACGAATAGGCGTATTGAAATTTAACTTGACCATTTTTATGTTGAAACCAAACGAACCATATGCCCATTTAACCGCAAATAAAATCAATTTTTTTGTTTTTGGTTTAATATGGTACGAGTTTTTTTTTACCCAATTTAGTTAATAAGATATTTAACAACAGATGATTCAAATAATTGTTACTATGAAGATGCTAGGCATTTTTTCACCGTGGCCCAATTATAAGGCAACCCAGCTCATTTATCCACCAATTGGGTACATTTACCGCAAAAATCTCTTCACAAAATGGCAAAAAAATTAGTTATTGCTTGATTAAACTTGAAATTTTGTGGTATGTTTCATTCGTTTCGAATTGCAAATATTACAAAAAGGCACCATTGATGGCAGAGATCTTTCTAACATGACATTGATGAAAAAGAAGCTATTCCACGTGGATACCGTTGGAATAAAATGAAATTAATATAATTGAGCCTTTCAAAATGAAAAAAAAGTAAAAGCAAGTACCAATTAAACTTTTTGACTGAGTTTCACTATTTCATTTGCTATTATCGCCTTCAACTGCTTTGGCAATCTAAAGTGTAGTGTGCTAAGGTGGCGAGTATCATCACATAACGACTTGTATTTTCAAGATACCAGAATAACGATACCATTTTTATGAAATTAAATGACTTACCATGTGCACCTGCACGATACACGTTTTGACTAGGGGGAAAGATCAATTGGTCGTACGCTATTATCTATGTTATTGGCTATTCATCGTTATTCATTGGTATATTGGTGTGAATTGGTGAAATAAATTGAATATTAGTGTCAATCGTGTACATTTAATGTGAACTCAACATAAAAATATAGAACAATAGAGACCGATGTACGCCGATATCTGCCAATATGCAGATAAACGCTTATTTTTGAAAAATAACAATACATCAGCGATTTCGTTTAGATTCACGTTTAAGTGCTACGTACTTTTGGTTAAAGCGCTGTACCTAACGCTATACTTCTACCTGTATCTGCTTCTTATATCAAACGAATCTTTGAAAACTGATTATGCATGAAATAAAAAATTAATAGAAACCAGAATCTACATTTATTTTTAATTACTATTTTCTATAAACCTAGCTATGAACAATCACATATGAATTATCTTACGAAATTATGTTTAGTTCATGACACTTGATAAAGTTTAAGTGCTGCGTACTTAAGATAGTACTTAATTGCCGTAGTACTGGTCTAGAAATCAATGACACTAGAAATGACATGATAAGTTTGCTGACAAATATGTACTTAAGTACGCGGTACTCGAGCAATGACCTAAGTACGCGATACTTGAGCAATAGATTAAGTGCGCTTCACCTAAATATCTCTACCAATTTTAGTACGAAATATTGGTATATCGGCGAAATCTAGGGGAATATCACGCTTAAATTATTTCAAATATTTCAAAAAAATCCAATTTATCTCAAAGAATCTGTCGTATGAAATATGGTGGATATTTGTGAATACGGCGGAATATTGTGGATTTTTGTGATTATGAATGATATTTAAATGTATTTATTTGGATTTAATGCAAAAAATCTCAAATATCTCCAAAATCCACAAAAATCTGATTTATTTATTCGAAATATTCGAAAATATATCATACAATTGATGTTTATTTCAAATATTTCAAATATCTCACAAGATTCTGGAGCGTGATATTCCCCTAGGGCGAAATATTCAAATATCGGTTAAATATTTGTAAAAGGTCATGGAATCGTTACAAATTATCATTATTTGTTATATTGAGGCTTATTCAGAGGAAAAAAAATGATCTTTCCCCCTAGCGTTTTGTGCTTCTCTTTCTTAATTAATTTTAGCATATTTTTTTCGTTCATTCATCCGACTTCTGCTCTTTATCAATTAATTTATTCAACCATCCTTCGTAAAATGAATTTAAAAAAAAATCGTTTTCTGTCCGTTGCTATTTACATGACGACAGCCAGCCAGCATATTTCATTATAAAAAAAAGTGAAGCTCTAATTTTTGCAAATTTTGTTTCGAATAATCAATGGAATCGGCGAGCCACAAAAATTTAAACACGTTTTGGCAATGTGACCAAGTTTTTAGTTTCTACGTAAGTCTACATTCTTCCAGCATAAACCTGATTTTCGCTCTTGTATCAGTTTTACGATCGAACGTGATAGCATTCGTACGAAAGTTCGCTTCAACACCATATTTATGACTCTGGCGAGCAGAAAATTAGAATGAGCATAAAATGCGATGGTTAATTCGACAATAACCACTATTGGCATGTGCTCTTCTAACTCGTGCATGACATTTCTTTTAGGTTCAATCTTATCGTGACTTTTTATCGTACCCTACGCTTTTTGTTGCATTCACGAAAATATTTTGAAAGTCATCCATTTTATTGGGTCTGGGAATTAATCGTGTCGATTTTTCAAAAGGTGGCGTAACTTTGCATGGTTGTATCGGGCAATACTTTTTTCTTTTTCACATGAGTGGTCTAGTGTCAAACTACAAAAATCATCATCTATCATTTCATCGAAGTTTGGATAAACATTTTTTTTTGCGCCTTAAATATGTCGAATTTTGTACCGAAAAAGCAACATTTCCCGCAAGCATTAATTTTTTGCTTTCATTTGAAGAAAACTGCGGCTGAAGCGCATCGAATGTTGGTGGAAGCCTATGGTGAGCATGCTCCATCGGAACGTGCATGTGAACGGTGGTTTTCACGGTTCAAAAGTGGTGATTTTAGCACGGAAGACAAGGAACGTCCCGGCCAGCCAAAAAAGTATGAAGATGCGGAATTGGAGGCATTGCTCGATGAAGATTGGAGTCAAACTCAAGATGAGCTTGCCAGAGCATTGAATGTTGACCGAAGCACTGTTGGATATCGTTTAAGGGCCCTTGGTTTCATTCGCAAGTTGTCAAATTGGGTACCACATGAATTGACGCCAGCGCAAGCTGAAAGGCGTTTAGTGACTTGCGAAATGCTGCTCGCAAGGCACAAAAAAAAGAGGTTTTCTGTATCGAATTGTCACTGGTGACGAAAAATGGATTCATTACGATAACCCCAAGCGCAAAGCATCGTATGTTAAGCCCGGCCAACCAGCAACATCACAGCCAAAACAAGAAATTCACGGCGACAAGGTAATGCTGTCTATTTGGTGGGATGAGGAGGGAGTGGTGTATTATGAGCTGCTGAGAAGTGGTCAAACCATCGATGGGCCTTTCTACCGACAACAATTGATACGTTTGAAACAAGCAATCAAAGAAAAACGCACGAAATGGGAGACCAGAAAAGAGACATTGATTTACCTACATGACAATGCTCGGCCACACATTGAGAAATCGGTCAAAAACTACTTGGAAAATAGCGGATGGGAAGTTTTGGCTCACGCCCCGTATAGCCCAGACCTGGCTCCTTCCGACTACCATTTGTTTCAATCGATGCAAAACCATATGGACGGAGAGCGGTTCTCTTCAGTTGAAGAAATCCAAAATTGGCTCGATGCATTTATAGCCTCAAAAGATGAGGAATTTTTTAAGGCAGGCATCCGTCAATTGCCCACATTGTGGCAGAAGGTCATCGCTTACGATGGACAATATTTTGATTGAAATGTAATTTCATTTTGGTATTCAAATAAATGTTTGAAAATTTAAAAAAATCGACAAAACTAATTCCCAGACCCAATATCTACCAAAATAGAATACTTCAAAGAGTTACACCAAAGCTTACATCTTATATATCAGGTTGATTGGCAGAGCAAAGTATATGATGAAGACTTTCGAAGAATGTGGAAAACCGCCAAACATTTTCATGCTTCATGTTAAATGAATTTATTAAAATAATGGGTAGAAAATGAAAGATTCTCATTTGATTTTTGAACTATTTCTTTTATTTATGCCATAATAGAGTCATTAGGGTCATATTCACTGCAGTGCTTGTACTTCGGTTGCATTTGGCAATGATGAAACGTAGACGTTTCGATGACATTTGAACTTCGGTATAAACAAATGTAAAATCAATATAACGACGAAAATCTCGTTCCCTTACAATAATTAAGGGGTGTATTTCATTTGGTAGGTCTGGCCATCAGCAAAAGTAACTACGCCGCCTGCTGAAAGTAACTACACTGCGAATATTTTCATGTCCCTCAAACTATTCTGGCAATCTAAATGAATAAAATTTCTTAAAGCTACCACATGCCCCAAACAACATTATTACATTCCGCCCAATTGTTTGATTAACACTAAAGGCATGAGCATCAACGAATAAAAGCGGGAGAAAATTGTGAGTTCTCTCTGTTGAAATTTACATGACGTGCTAGTTGTCATTAGTGCGACCGAATACGTTATATATCACCACCAAAATCTTTAACGTTCTCTTGTTCCAAATGATCAATGAATCGGATCATAAATTTCTGATCACGTTTCGGCAATGTAATCAAGTTTCAGTTTCTACATAAGTCTACATTCTTCCCGCATAAACCTGATTTTCGCTCTTGTATCAGTTTTACGATTGAACGTGCTAGAATTCGCACGAAATCTGCTTCAACATCATATTCATGACTTTGATGAACCAAACATCAAAAATGGCACAAATGCGATGGATGGTTCAACAATGATCACACTCAGTATGTGTTCTACAATCATGCGTATGTTGAAAAGTAAAGGACATTTCTATCAGGTAAAATCTCATTGTGGTTAATTTCTTTAAATTTTCATTGTCAACTCGTAAGAGTTTTTAAATAGTTTTTTCTATAATAAATGAAAAAGTTCCTACATTTTTCATGTGAAAGAGACTTTCCGCACGCTCTTTGTCATCCATAAATGAACCTATTTACAAAAACAGGCTACCGCAAAGAGTTATACCAAAGTTCAATAATTGAATAATGACCGAAATACATGATTAAGGTGTTTCCATGGGACGTTGAGACGTTACGCTGACGAGAGAGTCCTTAATTTCAAAGAACACTTCAATAGTCTTCCAATGGCAACTGATTGGATATGGATTCGTTTTCTTCGATTATTTTCTGTCAATTTTGAATCTATAAAATACCTCTGCAATCTGTAATGATCTGAAGTAAAAGTATTTGAAAACTTTCTTTTGACTAAGCACAATAAATAACTCGCATCACTTTTATTATTTGTTTTCATTAAAACTTTCTATATAACAATTGCAATGAAACTGGAAATTATAAGCTTTGGGTTGAATATTTTGGAAAAAAAAAACCGATGAATCAATTACAAGCCAAGTTACTGTTGTCTCATGACCGATAAGAATCCCATTCAAATGTTTTCGCTCCCGTCAAACCACTATCGCCTATCAAAATTCTTCCAATTAGTGTTAAAGTTCAAAGTTAAAATTGTAAATATAGTCTTGCTTTAGCATCGATTAATTTAAAATGAATAGATATTGACCTTAAGCTACTCCACACGCTCCCAAGCGGTGCTCTATTTATATTTTCAAAAGAATTTGAATTTAATGAGTATGCAAACGGCGCTGAATAATTTATCTGTTCCAGCTTCACCGCATAGTGGCTTGTAAATAATTCATTGGTCTCTCGTGGGATGTGTCGTAAAGTTCAAACACGGTTTAAGATGAAAAAAATTAAGAGATGGTCAAGAAATGGAGGGTGATGGATACATAATTTTTAGTATAAATTGGTTGCGACCACTTGCTCCAGATATCACAAGTATTTGAGCTGCTTTCGTGGATTAATCAAACCAAACAAACAAAACCCGTCAAAATGAAATTCGTTATCGTATTCGCTGCCCTCATCGCTGCCTCAGCCGCTGCTCTTCTCCAAGGCGCCTCACAAGAAGCTTTGGCCACCATTGTCAGCCAACAAAACGCCATCTCACCAGACCAAAGCAGTTACACATACTCGTAAGTATAGAAAATATACAGTGGACACTGGACAGTGTTCAGTGAGCATGAAGAAATCAAGTGAATAAATGTGAACATATATTGTATTTATAGATCACAGACCAGCAATGGTATCTCAGCCAAAGCCGATGCTACATTGAACCAACCACGTTCATCTGACGCCAGCGCATCATATGCCGTCCGTGGACAATACTCATACCAAGGACCAGACGGTGTTGAATACACCGTTCACTACATCGCCGATGAATTCGGTTTCCGTCCAACCGGCTCACACTTGCCAGTTGCCCCACAAGCTTAATTTGATGTTCAATTATTATTTTTTGTTGAAAATTGCAAATAAAAAGAAATAGTTGAATTATTCGAAGAAAAAAAAACGCATCTTTCATTCACTGCAGGAGTTTATTTATCAATCTATAGCTCGTGACATTTGAAGTTTTATACTTTTTCAATCGAACACAATCGGTATTTCACACACTTTTGAATTTACAAATGAAATTGTCGAACCGAACAGTAACAACGATCGGCCACTCCGGTACAACCTAAAATTGCAGAAAAATCACGAAATTGAGTGAAGAAGTCATTGTTATTATCAAAAAGTCTACAGATATCCTCACAGATGGATTTTTTTTATTTTTTCAAAATTAAAAAATAATTCGAAAGAACGGGACAGATTGTATAATTGATAAAAGTAATATGAATATTTGGTCCAGTTTTATTCATATTTGATAAATCATTGAAATGACTACATAGATAAATAACATGAAACTCCAATTATTTATCCAAACAAATATTATTTTATTGAAATCTAAAATTCAAAGAAACCAAATTAGATGTAGCACATTGGAGCAAGTTTCATTCAAATCTGGCAATATAATATTCAATTGTGACCACGCTGCTTCCTCAAGTAATGTGAGTTTTTGAATGTAAGGTGCAGGTGAAAAAGAATTTCAATTGATTGCCACTTCAAATCGATATTGCAACATCGGAGAATTTCTATTTAAATTGTATGAGACAGAAAGCAGAAAAATAGCTCAATTCTGCTAATAATTGTGAGAAAATAAAAGATATTGTAGCTTTATTTTCCAACTAATTATTTATTTTTCATTCATTTGTAATAGTATGAGAAGAAAAGTAACGTGGTACGTTCCAGTAATGTTACTTTAGAACGCACTCATTATTTATTGTTTGAATGAGATTGCGAACATACGCAAGATCGAGCGGTCTACAACTTATTCATAAGATTTTAAATGGATTTATGCGACTGGGGCAACTAGCAAATGAGCAGCTTCTGGGTGGAAACCATTAGCATCAGCGGTGTATCTAACAGTGAATTTTTGGCCATCTGGAGCCATCTGGAGTCCATGAGAACTCTATTGAGGAGAAAAAGTGTTAAAATGAAGATTAATTTTAGAAATTTCTTTAAAAAATAATCGTGTTCAACAACGCTTGGTTAAAATTTTTGTACCTCCTTGTGTGGCATATGCAGCAGTTTTGTCAAGTGAATGTGGTTGGTTCAATGTGCCTTGTTCTGAGGCGGCGATTCCATTGCTTGTTTGGACTGTATACACAGAGAAGGAATATGCAATTTTTCAATATTTAAATGAAGCGAGTGTTGAATTTTCTTTTCAGCTTGAAACCAATCTTTTGATCACTTACGAATGCGACTATTGGCTGTGGTCTGGAGCGATGCTTGCTTGTTTGCTAACGGTGTAAGCTTCTAAGGTCACCGGTGTGGTTTGATTGAATGAGTGTAGCGATGGCAACGGCGAAATAAAATGGCGAAAACAATAACGAATTTCATTTTGAAGCTGTTTTTCTTTATTTGTATAATCCAAAGGGACACAGTGACTTCTGATATCTAGAGCAATAAATCACTGCTATTTTATACGAAAAAAAAAAACAAACGCACTCCACCGAAGAAGCAAATCACTACTGAAAAGACTGAAAACAACTGAAAAATATTTTCAGTACTTTTCAGTTTCAAAATAGATCGGGATTTTTGACAGTTCTGCCAACTTTTCATTTTTCTCCTCAAAAATAAATGCCATTTTCAATACTTTCATATACTAATACATTGGGCACTGAAAGTACTGAATTCAATTTTTCAGTAGTAATTCGCCCGTTGTCTCCACCACATGGTATTCATTTTCCATTCACTATTTCTTCTTCAGTTATGTTACAATTTCAATATCGCCGTCGTCACAAAGAGATGAGTGTGACGTGCGTGCAACCAACCAAATAATTAATTAATATGAAAAAATATTCAGACCAATTTGATAAAGCACATTTTATCGTTGGTTTGACTTTTTCGTTTTGGCATAATTAGAATATATACTTGCGAGCTAAATTAGCGAATCAGTTTGTATCGAAGCATTTTTCAAGGTATTGAACTTTAATTTACAAACTAAATTGATCTGACCTATGGAAGCTAAGTTATTGCATTTTATTAATTTAATTTAATTTATGAAAAGAGTAAACGCTCAATTGTGGCCGCATTTATTTCTTCCATTTTATCACGCATTATTTGACATCTTCCATTTCTTCCAATTTCCTCTAAGTTTCTGTAAGACTTTATGGTCAATGCACGATTTTGCTATGTACAAAACTATAGAACTAGAGTGATCATGAACCGATCATTCCACTTACATGCTACGAATATTTACAAGATGCATGCTCGTTATTACGGAGAGGTGCTCGTTATTATATACACACGTTTATAAAGATGTTGAACAATGAACCGAAATCGGTCGCTTTGGTCAGTTGTTCTCGAAGAGTCGATCTAGAAAAACTATAGAACATTCAATTGTTCTACCCAAATTTGACATGTGATTGGTCTTTTTCTTTCCCTTGTTCTTTTGGTACACTGTTCCATGTCTTTCATTATATGTATACGTTATATATTGACATGAGCATGCTGCACTGCAGCAATTTCGCATAACTCGAATACCTGGCCTAGATGGCTCACACAGTTTGCTTGAGCTCCTTTATCTTTCACAAATATTATCTCCGGAAGAGAATACAAAAAACTCTCTGTGGAACCGGTCATTTCAAGAGAAATCGTGAGGAAAGAATGCAAAAATTTGAATATATCGTGTATTTCGTAAATATCTCGCAAATTCCAAAAATATATTTGGAAATAAATTCACGTGCAAATCTACTGGCCATGAAGAAAATACCGCAAGTGATGTGAATGTTTTGCAGATACATTTGCCAAATGTAACTAGAGGTGTCAATCGAAGGGCTTGCGACGAACAAATATATATGAAATATTTCCGAATATATTCAATTACGTCAAATATTTCAAATATTTAAGCATTATTTGTTCATAAAATGCATCTTGATATTTCGTATATTTGACATATTTGGCTATATTTCAAATATTTCGCATATTTCAAAATTAAAAGAAATATTTCAAACAGAAATAGTCACAACAATATCGGGTAATACCAAAAAACGTCAAAAATGCACAGCAAAACATTTGAGTGTAAAGTTTACTCTTGAGTTAGGTTAATATAGCGGTTTCAACTATTTTAGGGGAATTTACACCGAATTTTGGGTAAAATGAGTTGTTTTCTATGCGTCTGTCCGAATGGCTACTGTTCATGTACGCACTAATACATTGGCACGCACTGGTGCCGAGTCTGTGAGCTTGTATGTATTGTAATTTTTGTACTCAACGGGTTATACAATATATACAAACTCACAGACTCGGCACCAGTGCATGCCAATGTATTAGTGCGTACATGAACAGTAGCCATTCGGACAGACG